GGTCCCATGATCAAATCGCCGACATTTTCACGAAGCCGCTCAAGCACGAAGATTTTTGAACGTTGATGATCATGCTCGGAGTGTCAAAAACAAGTTTAAGAGGGGATGTTGAACATTAAACTTGTTTTTGGTCCTAATTAATATTAACTTTAGTTGTTGTTGGGAAGACCCAAGTGATAGAAAAATGTAGAAGGAATAAATTCTAGAGTTTCTCTAGAAGATGTGGTCTCTAGAGTTTTCCTATAATTAATTGAATAGAATTGTGTAGAATGCATTAATTGTAGAAGAATCGGGAGAAAAACATTTTCATTCTCGATTTTGAGAGAGAAAGCTAGAGAGACAGACTCTGCATTTTTCGGCGGCTCTGCCAGCGGCTCTGCGGCTTTCTAATTGGATGTTTCAATCCACAATCTTCTGCGGCTTTCTAATTGAATTGGCAGTGAGTTCTCAAAGGAAGGGGTTTGGTCTCACACTCTCACGCTTAGGGATTGAAAGGGCTTCTCTAGTCTTTCCTTTCACAGATAGCGTGTGAAACCTTGGTCGGGGAACTAGTCAGTACTGGACCGACGAGTGGTTGAACGACCATCTTTTCCAGGACCAGACAATGATAGAGTTGCGGGACGACTTAACAAAGACATTGGAGCTGGATGGCCACCGGCGATGAAACAAGTGCGGGTGAGTAATTGAAACATGGTCTATGAATCTTGAAAGGGGCAGCGGGAGATGGATAAGAGGGAGGCTTTGATCGTCGGAATGTTTTGGTCAACCGACAGAGTAGTTTTCGTTGGGACACAGACAATGATGGGGTATCAGTTTTCCGTTTTGAGGGCTTCAAAGTGTCAACAAGACAACGTAATTCATGTTCAGGTGATATCAAACAGGGGTGATACGAGGGGTACCGTTCTTCCTCGAGCTGGTTTTCAGATCATTGAGCAAAACTGAAGGTGGCAAAGGATTCCCTGACGTCCTGGCTTTGGTGAGATAGGATACGAATTGAGAGGACGTGCAATTTGGACGCTTCTTCATTATTGAACATGGAGTGGTTGGAACAACATTGCAAATAATGTAATGTAATTATTGGGTTTAGCTCGATAAGAATCTTAGTTCAATGACTTTTATGAAGGGTTGAAAAATATGAGCTTTGGCTTATAAGCCTTAAGTGGGATTGATCTTTAACTTCAAAAGCCTTTTGGGTCCTTTAGATTTTTATTACGTCTTTAACTATGTCCGTACTTGAATTTTGTGGGTAAGGTCTAGCCCCCCATATGTAATCGGTTTCTTCACTTTGAATAAACTACAGTGGCACATTAATCACCAAAAAAATTATTGTAGAAAAATCTAGATATCTTTTTACTAGTATAAATAGAGGTCGCATGCCCCCATTTTGAATCAAGCAATCAAGCCAATTTGAGTCGTTCTAATAAAAAGAGTTATTCCCCTTTGTTTAAATATCTCTTCCATATTATTTCTAACTTAGCCATCCAATGTTCCCAAATCTTCCTTCACTTATCTCCAACAGTCTCTAGAGGTTATCACCACTCAATGCTACAGACAACATCCATCCTTGCACTTCCGCCTCTGCCTCATCAGCCTAATTTCAAGCTTGCCCCTTCCTATTCGCCGTTCTTAACCCGCCGGCTGTATAAAAATTCCTTTGCAAATCATTCATTTAGTTCCCCAATAGGTCATCCATTGCACATGATACTGCATGCAAAACAAAAAAAATATGGAGTAATATCATATTCTCATATTTAAAGTTAATATAAAATCATTCTTTGTCCTCCCTTTGTAAATTCATACTCCGTACTTCTTTTCAAAGGTTTACAGATATTTGGACATACTCTAAATCTCTAATCCTCATATAGGTTGCAAAAAAACTACAAAGTTTGTTCTCATCAATTTTGGCAAACTTTTCTAGACGATTTCGAATTCTGTGCCCTACTTTTAATGTTAAAAATCTCACTGGCAGATTGTGAACCTGAACCCAAAAATCCATAAAAAATAATGATACCTTAAGTGGCATATCACCGCACAGGATAACATGTAAAACTAATAGATTATGCTAGAATACCCAAGGTCAATTTTCTATGACATGTCTAAGAAAGATTTTTCTTATCGTCAATTTCCTTGGTGATACACTTTTATTTGGAAATCCCGCCGCCATGACATTGCTAAAGATCGGAAACCTGCCATATTTTACGACCGTTTGCGTACATCCCAATAAACGTAGAGGTTGCCCCTCTCCTGTCACCCCCCTACTATATAAAAAATTAGGCCTTCATCCCCCCTTCAATGTATGACGATATTGCTCCTCCGACCTATCCGAGGAAACCATCGTGAAACACCTATGGATGCTTGTTGCCTTCTAGCTACACCTCGTCAAAAGACTCTCACACGCCACACCGGATTGGTGACATCAACAAGTTTGCAACATGCGGAAAACTCTAATGCCAATTGTTGAGGACTAATCTTACATAATCCAATATGAATTGAAGATGTTTTTAATCGAACTCATTTTTTTGCGCACTCTGACCTAATCTCGTTTATTTAAGGCAGACATGTTAAACTTATGTAGTTTGTTTATGTGTCCTTATAAACGCGTACTCCATCACTCCTAGCCAGAAGGAGGACTACACTTCACCTCTAGAGTTTGAAAAGACAAGAAAAATTTGAAATCAAAAGAGAAGATCCGCACAAAGCTCGACTATCTTTCGCCCATAGTCCTACAATCCACATACTCATGAATGTATGGAAGTGTCCCAAACAAACACCTAGACTCTACCCATGGCACCACCTTGTGAACATCGTAGAAAGAGAGGAAGGACAACTACAGAGATGGGCGTGAGCCGCGACAGTCATCTCGATCTGGCCTCTCAACCACAAGCAGCTTGATTAGTATAATATTATGGAACTCATTATAAATTTTAGACTTTTATGAGAGTGCTGCTTTTAACAAATAACATTTTCTATCATTTTTATATTATAAATGATTTCAAATAAAATGATATAGTTAGCCAAAGTAAAAAAGATGATTAAATATTTTGGGCAGGGGTAATATCTCTCTATCTCTACTTTTTACCTATTTCTTCTCTCTAGATACCACCAACGGTATTTCAGTGGGCTATCAAATACCATTACCTTAAATTGTAATTAGCATAAAAATTTAAAGAAATGTGTTAAAGCGCACAAAATTATTCTTATTTCTTTTATCTTGAGTTATTACACCTAAATATGAGTAAAATTATCCCTAAATGCAACAATAGAACTATATTATTTTTATTCCCAAAACAGGAGTAATATGCGTTCCTTCTTTCCATTCTACCCCTTCCTATAATCTCCAATAAGACTTATTTTATTAATAACAAATTTTTTTTTTATTTATAATAAAAACATAAACATAACAAAAAAAAATATTAATTTATAATAAGAAACGCAAAAATAAATAAAAAAGGTTTAAAATGAATTAAAAATTAAGAAATAAATAAAAAGTTAAAAAATACGCTTAAAATATTAAAAATAGTAGGGCTCTGCCGCTGCATCTTCCCCTTTACAGCGCCGCCACCTCCGATCATCGGAAAAATGTCATCTTATATAAAAATGCTACATTTTTATGAAAGTCTCATGAAGAAGAAATTCTTACTCTTTAAAAATATCAAATTTTGCTTTCAAAATTGTCATCACGATAACATTTTTTTTCGGTGACCGGATGTGGTGGTGCTGGAAGGTGGTCGACGTGGTGACCGGTTGAGGACTTGAGGCCTGCATTTTTTTTTTATGTTTTTCATTTGTTTTATTTTATTTTTTATTTTATTATTATTATTAATAATAATTACTACATCCGTCCCATATTGGTTGTTCACTTTTAATTTGGCACGATTATTAATAAAGTGGTTGAAAAGTAAAAGTTGTGGTTGATTTTTTTTATACCCCAGAAGGTAAACCACCACTGCAGGCTGATTTGCCAAATGATGGGCTACCCAATTACACTCCCTAGCACAATAGGAGAAAAAACCCCTTTCCTTTTTGCTTTCTGTAAGGTTTCCTGATAACTCACCTTCTAGTGTCCGCACCGCCATCTTCGATGTATTTCAGGGCAACCGCAACATCCATTTCAACTTCAAAGTTAGAAAACCCTTCCGAGATGGCGAGCTCCACCGCGTACAAAGCTGTAGATATTTCTGCTTCTACTGGGGACACAGCTACAAGAGGAAACGAAGAGGCAAAGAGGAGAGTCCCCTCAGCATTTCTCATAATCGCACCACCTGAGACCACTCCAGGTAAGAATCTAGCATCAGTATTCAGTTTGACTCCCTTTTTCGGCCTCTTCCATTTCAATGCTCTGAAATATCCGCCTTTCATCTTGAAGTTGGAAGGGATCAGTTTTTCTTCATATAGAATATCACCGACTGACTTAATTTTCAAATTAGAGAAATTTGTTACCCAGTTCTGAGTGTAGATTTTGATCTGAGTGATGATGAACTCAGAGCTGGGAAAAAGTTGTGGTTGATATTTGAGTAGAATAAAGTGAAATGATAGGGACCACATACTTCTTGCCAAAAAAGGAAACAAGTCATTCATTTTTGGACAACCCAAAAAGAAAAGTAAGACAAACAAAATGAGACGAAAAGTGTATTAAAAGTCCTACTCCCTCCGTATTTTAATGTTTGCTACATTTTTCTTTTTGGAATGTATTTAAAAATTTGACACACTTCCATTTTTGGTAAGTTTACCCTTTGTAAAATACTCAACTACCTCTACTTTTTCTACTTTTTATCTTCTCTTTCATACTTTTACACATTCTCTCCTACTTTTCCTACACTATTCACTACTCCTACTACTTTACTTATTAAATAATATGCCAAACCAAATGCAGTAAACATTAAAATAGGGAGGGCGTATTAAAAATGACAAGAGAAGAAGTAGGATGGGAAGAGTTACTCGTATTTTGACAATTTAAACCCTATACTCCTATCATTACGATTTTGCTCTTTTCCGGTGTATCCAAACAAAAATTTGCGATTTTGCGCCTTTTATCTTTTCAAGAAAGGAGATTAAAGTTTTCATTTTGAGACAGGGGATGTAAATAAGAAAGGCAATGTTTTTTTTTTTTTTGAAAACAAAGGCAATGTTAAAATACTCCTTAGTTCGTACTCCGTATTTTTAGAAGTAAAGATTCTGATTCTGGCGTAGGAATTACAAAATCAAAATCGGGATCAAGTCAAACACCCCTTGAACGCTTCAAGACTCGTACGGTTTTCGATTCCCGTTTTTATTTTTTGTTGGTTCAGTTGAAAGTGTATCTAATCTTGGTCGGAGTAATTCGCCATTGATAAAGCTGGAAATTCGGGGAGGTGTATGCATATGATGCATTTCGGTGCATTTAGAACTCGGGTAAGGAGTTGGCTTCGCGACTATGACAGAATTCAATCCGCCGCTGTGATTCTGATCTACCTTCAGATTGCCTGCGCGCTGATCGGGTCTCTTGGAGCCTTCTACAGTGGTGTGTTGTTCGTCCATCTTGGGATTTCGTTGTTCGCCCTTGTCGCCATCGAAAGCAGCAGCCAGAGCCTCGGCAGAACGTACGCCGTCCTCCTCCTCTCCGCCGTCTTGCTCGATGTCCTCTGGTTTATCCTCTTCTCCCACGAAATCTGGTACCCTACATTTCATTTCGTAGTTGTCATTTATAATGGATATTAAACAGAATTTTCTTTAATTTGGAGAAGTTGGACTTGTGAGTACTTTTCTTACGATTTTGTAAAATAGATGGCGTAGTTAAATGGTCACTTTCAATATCAGTAAAGATATTGTATTACAATGCTTGTTGAAATTATAGGTGGGAAAGATAGTAGTCCGCCCACATAATGAGACACATGATTTTATGGTGTATTAGAATAGTGGATAAATCCTAAGGCATTATTTGGCTCAACTTGCCAGGAAGACATGAACTACTTATTCTGAGTGTTCCTTATGAATCTTTACTATGAATTCAATAGATTATGTCATAAATCTTTAGTGATGCTTGTGAATTTTCACTTTTTAAATCAAGAAAAGAAAATTCTACTTCAATTATTTAAAGAGAAAATGTAGAATTTGTACTGAACATTGGAATATTCCATTTTTCTTGCAAGCAGGAACATTTCGTCCAAAAGTTATGGAGCCTCTGTCATCTTCTCAGTGAAACTTACTATGTACATGCAAATAATCGGTTTTTGTGTAAGGTTGTCATCTTCAATATTGTGGATTCAGATATACAGGCTTGGACCTTCTTATGTAGACCTTCCTGTTCCACGAGAAACAGATACTGATTTGCAAAATAGTTTTCTCAGTCCTGTAAATCCTGCTTTTACACGACCTCATTCCGGTTCTGATGATGCTTTGGGTGGATCTGTATATGACCCTGCATATTATTTCTCTTTGATGGAAGATGGTAAAGATGAGAATTATTTGTCTGTGGTATGCAACTCTCTCTTCTACCCACTTTGAACAACTTGACTGTTCCGCTGTTCTTTTTAATGCTTTTGTTGCTTTTGAGATAAATATGAATATGCATCTTCATTTACAAAAACAATAAGTTGCTATGTATATTCATTGTATACATGGTAAAGTGGAATATTATCTAAAATTTCGAAAAAGAGAGACAATTTGAGAATCTGTGTTAAACTTAACCTCGCCAAATTTGTGATTGGAAACAATTAAGATGTAACATCAGATTTTTTATACACTAAACTACTACATTTGCTTCACCATTTCTATATCACTTCAATAGGTTACGTGTATCAGTGTATGCATCAAATCATTGATGGGAGTTTTTTTTTTTTTTTGAAATTGTGTAGTGTCTTTGCCCCCAATAGGGATTTGTTTGTTATGAAATTCCATCTAAGAAGGTAAACTTGATTGTTTAGAATGAACAGGGATATGCAACAGCGGAAAGCCGGAAAGTTTATTTTGCTTTACTTTTTTGAAAGTGATACTTCGTATATATGAATCATAATATATGATACTACCGTTATAGTACTGACTAGAGAAAGAACTACTGCCTTTGCGCACTTTCATTTTTCTGCCTGCCTTCTAAGTAATGAACTGTTTGCATGCATAAATTGGAAACCATATGGGTTTGATGTTGAAAATGTTATGCTCCTTTTTTTTTTTACTGAAAACTATTGAAATGCTTTTAGCTTTATGTTCATGTGTATACAAATGGGATTAGATGGCTTCATTCTAATAATGTGATATTTTTTCATCATTACTACTTTTCTATTTACACCTAAATGCCAATATCCAACTATGGTAGATTTGGAGACATGAAACTGATGAAAGTACTGTTAGTTCATTATTAAAAATTAACTGACATTATAAATTCATGCAAAAGAGCATAGTGACAAAGCCGTGCGACAGATTCCTTTCCAGATGCAACTTTCTTATAAGGGAATGATGAGATGAAATTTCAAATTTGTCATTGTTTTAAATTTTTCCTATTTGCATCATTGCATGGACAATGTAATGAAACTTTAATGAGTTGAGATGGTTGTAATAGACTTATAGTCATGTTTTATTACAACATACAAGAATGTTATTATAAAATTAAAATACGCATAGGTGTCTGTTCCTCTAAACGTGACTAAACACCTATGTGTCTGTTCCTCAACCCATATATTCATTTCCAATGACTTTTCTGTGCATAAACCCATATTTTATTTTCTGTTGAGAAATTGACTCATTAGCAAAAGTAAAACCATACTACATTAAACCTTTTAACGTTAAAAAACCCTTGCATTTCAGCAATGCTTTTTGGCAGCTAATGAAACATGACTTAATTCTTTTTGTGAAATATACACCCTGTAAGCTTTTTTAGATATATCAGGAAGAAATACATCTTATAAACATGACCCATTAGTAAAGCCATACTATCAAAAACATTTACGCTTAGAAATCTCCGAAATTCAGCAATTCTTCAGCGGAAGCTGGTGAAGTTGCCTTGGTTCTATTTCATTCTCTTTGTTTCTCTCTTCATAGAAGGTTTTTCTACAAAATATTTTTGTCTCTGTCTATCGCTCTGTTTCAGTCTGTCTCTCACTATATCTCAAGTACTTCTATTCATTAATTTCCTTCTTCAAGGCCCTCTTGATTTGGCATTAAACTCACTTGTATAGCCATTTTGATATTAACACGAGGTGCCCTGGAAATATCTCGCTTCTCTCATTTCATATGAACCCTTTCTCAAGTCCCTTAGATTTCTTCATGGTAGCTGTATATGCATAGACTCTCCATGTTCCATATTCTCTATATCTAGTATTCTTACTTATAATTTTGCCAGATAACTCTAATGTTCCTTAGAATTGCAGAGATCTTGTCCTCAAATTTCTTGCAACTACCTCTTCTTGCCATAGGAAGGGCTCAGAACTTGCTTGTTTTTTTGGAATGATGTACGTGGGAAGAGTTGTTTAGATGGGTAGCAGAGCATTATAGACCCAGATGGAAAATGTCTAGGTCTCTTTATGTCTAGTAAGATGGTGAGAAGAGTAGTGAATAAGGCTCAAAATCGGGGGGTGGGGGTGGCTGTCAGTTTATATTTAGTATGTGAGTTTTCATCAGTTATCTACTTATTTTCTACTCTCTCCGTCCCTGAAACAACTTCTCACTTTCCTTATTTGGATGTCCCTAATTTAACTTCCCATTTCCTTAAATGGAAAGTTATCTAACATCAAAACAGTGTCAAACAATGCAAAACAGTGTCAAACAGGGCCAAACAGTATCAAAACAGTAAAATTTACCCCCTGGTAAGTTTATTTCCTAAATATGTGTTTAGATCAAACCGGGATGTTGTTTCGGGGACGGAGGGAGTATCTTTTTCCTAGAAGGTAGGGCCATGGAGATGTGTTAGGATGAATTTTGTAAATACCTTGTTAGTTTCTATAACAAGCCATAATTTTCACCCAAGCATTATCATGTCTCCACAATTTGTGTCCCAAACTTACGTACTGATGCTGCTTGTATATTTTCCGCATAAATTTTATATGCTGAATATGAAACATGTGAGTTGTGATTAATTAGTTAGTTCATCAGTTCATGTCAAATGTTCTTTATTAATTAGTATGATACTCAAAACCCTTATTTTGGTATAACTGTCTTGTCCATTTTTGTAGTTGAATCAAAATCACGGCATGGGTATTGTTGGCTCAACCCCTTCACCTGAAAGAACCGCTTCACCGAAGCCTGTCAGCAACTCTGTTCAGGGTAAAGATGTAAGCTGCAGGATTTTTATCATATTCCATAGTTATACTTTTTTTTTAATCTTCAACATCAGGAGTTCTACATTTCCAGTTGATATTCAGTAACTTCTCTCTTTTTCTTTAATTTAATCTAAAATTTGCTTCATTTGCAGGAACTGACGGCTGTTAGGAATATGCTGCAATTTTGAGCCCGTTTTTTTCCCGTGGAGGGTTCATTTTTTTACCCATTTCTCGGCTGGTTCTTTTTTGGTTGTGACAATGTACAGTGACCGTGCATATATGATTTGTAGAGATATATACTGATCATACAGATTATACTCATTGAAGCTTATAGAGAGTAGCAGATTATTATTGCAGTGTTGAAAAAAAAAACTAGGTTGAAGTTTGCAGAAGTATGATGAGGATTCTAAGAAGCCAAGTCTGAGTCGTGAAAATGGTATGACTAGGAGAGTAGTTGTAGGCTTCTCGGCAAGACATTAGTATTAGTGAAATCAAGGGATTTGATTTTTCATAAAATATTACTAATAAAAAGGTCCTGGACAAAAATGTGACTAGTTACTACGATGTAATCTTTGAACACAATTATAATAACTAATAGTTACTAAGTCACTTTTTTGCTCATTACTTTTTCAAGAGTAATATTAATGGAATATTTTCTTTCCTCTAATATGATTAAATTAGAACTTAAGGATAAATATATAATTACATGATCATAATGGTAACTCTGGAAATACTCAGTCATTGTACTTTAACACTGAACAAGAGAATATAGTGTGGTCGACTGGTTGTTACAAACCTACAATGCGGCAAAAATATGGTTATGATGACTTGTATAAAAAGAAATACTGTATGTACATAAATATCACTCCTAGATTTGGGAAAAACAAAATTAAGTGACTAGTTTTTTCTTTTGAAAAATGTTAAAAACCCCTTTCCAGACATATCTAAATAGAATTTAAATATTATAACTGCTCCATTTTTACCACTATTGTGTTGTTCAAATGGGACAATTCATTTAAGTGAGGCAACTCATTTAGATGTTGAGCTCGTTTGAACCAGGCAAGGGGTAGGTTTGGACCCGGTTCGGGCCGCCCGGCCCGTCACTGTGCGGGCCCGGAACCGGCCCGGTTCTCGGGTCTGGGTCCGGTTCGGGCATTGAACCGGTTGGGTTAGCGGGTCCGGGCTCGGGTCCTGTTTTTGGAGACCCGGCCCGACCGGGTCGGGCCCGGGCCCGGGCCTAACGGTCAGTTTAAAAAAAAAATTCATTTTAATTTGAAAAAAACCTTTTGGCTCAACAGCCACTTCCCAAACGGCTATATAGCCGTTGGGGGGGGGGGGGGGGGGGGTACCAGGGGTGGGGGGGTGGGGGTTAAAAAAACCTATAAATACTCCTAATTTTAAACATTTTTTCACACCTCTTCTCCAACTCTCCCTAAATCCTACTCTCTACTCATCTCCAATTCTCCATATTCATCTTCTCAAATTCTCTTATTCTCCTTTATATTTTATTTTACTATTTAATATTTATACAATTATTATATTTATTTATATATTAATTATCTACTTATAAATACATATACTATATTACTTACATTTCTTATCTACTTAATCTCTACTTATATTTCTTAATACATACATACATACTACATCTACTTAATATATACTTTATATAATAAAGTATTAAATATACTTTATAAACTATTACTATATACTTAATACATAATAATATCTACTTCTCTACTTAATAATATCTATTTTATATATACTTATTTTCTTATTTTCCAATCTCCAATTCTCCATTATACTCTAATATTTAATTCTTATACAATTATTATATCCACTTAACACATACATTCTACATCTACTTAATATATACTTTATATATTAAAGTACTCATCTTATAAGTGTATAACTCATATAAGTGTATTACTCATCTTATAAGTGTATTATAAAATATAAGTGTATTACTCATCTTATAGTAGTATACTTATATATTATATACTATAAACATTATATTATATATTACTTACTATAACTAGTATTGTACTAGTTAATTAGTTAATTAGCATTCTTGTTACATTTATCATTATAATAGTTAATTAGTTCATTACCATTATTGTTACATTTTTCATTATACTAGTTATTTACTTCATTGTATTTAACATATGAAGTTGATTTTGAAGAAAATGATGACTTTGACGTTCTAGACTGGTGGAAGTCAAAAGAAAGAACGTTCCCGATTTTAGCACGGATGGCTAAGCAAGTACTATCAATGCCGGTTTCAACAGTTGCTGTGGAACAAGAATTTAGTTCGGTCGGCAACGTCCTAACGGCATCTAGATCGAGATTGAGCGCGGAGTCTCTTGAGACGCTTATATGCTACCACGATTGGTTGAAGGCCGCACGTAGAACCCAAGAATTGAGCATCACCCCCTCCCAAGATTTTGTTAGAGATATTTTTATTGTAATTGTGATCAATGTTACTTTGCTAGTTTATGGTTAGCTAGAATAATGAATAGGCCTTTTAAGGCAATTTTGTAATAAAGGTTTTATACCTTTTTAGGTATGGGCCTCCTAGGAAAAGGAGCCCAAATGATTGTAAAACCTACCTTTCCCGTCAGGCTATATATATGCCTTAAGGGAAAGGCTAGGTTAAGCTTTTCAATATTCCTAGTGCCGCAGAGCCTATATCGGTGATAGAAGTTTTACGCTAACATTCATATCATTCTGTAAACTTCTTCATCAAATCAATGGAAAGCTTCATTCCCAGATCTATCTTCCATACATACATTCTAGACTAGAAAACAGGGACCTAACATCTGGTATCAAAGCCGGAGCTGATCGATCGATTGAAGGCTGGAAAATACTCCTGCGCGATTCTTCATCGTTGAAGTTTCGCACTTGAGCGATTTTCTGTTCTATTTTTATTGTTGTTTTTGCAGGAAAATGGTTGAAGGAAAGTGTTTCTAGGCTTGAAGGGATCATTCCTGGAGAAAATCTCGATCTGAAATTTGGCGTACAGGTTAAGCCAGATTTGAGCGATCCTGCAGAATAGCGCAACTAGCCAGAGAGAAGAACAAGTTCACGCTAAAGGACGTCTTGCGTGATCTCGAGTTTCGCGCAACTCTCCCTGCGCGATTTCGGACTTGCGCATTCTCAAGCAGATTGAGCGATCTCAGTTTCGCGCAAAACACCTCCTGCGCGATTTGAGAGATAGCGCAACACTCCCTGCATCTTTTTCTGGCTTGCGAGATTCAGCACATAGCGCAAAATCACCTGCGCGTTCCTCATCTTGCGCGTTCCTTGTACTTAGAAAATTTTAGCAAGTTGAGCGATCTTTCAGAGACTTGAGCGATCTTGTTGAGCTATTTTTTTGTTGTTGAGAGATTTTTGTAAAGTTGAGAGATTGTAAGTAAAGTTGAGCTATCTTTTGAGAGTTGAGCGATCTTTGCAAAGTTGAGCGATCTTTTGTAAAGTTGAGCGATCTTTTAGAAGTTGAGCAATCTTTGTAAAGTTGAGCGATCCTTCAACACTTGAGCGATTCTACTTGCAAAGGACCTTCTGCCCAAAGTACTGAAACCAACAAAACAGAATCAATTCAATCAACTGATCAGCCCGATCATTTAACATGGACGCACTATCGATTGGAAACGATACAAGACCCCCGATTCTTCGAAGAGGGGAGTACAACATATGGAAGAACAGATTCTTAAATTTTCTTGAAAGCAAGGACCAATCCTCAGGTCTTCTGGACTCTATCACAAACGGACCTGCACAATTGATGATAGCAGTTGAGAGAGATAACGGAAACAACCCACCTGTTGAGATTGAGTGGAGACCCAAGACTGTTGATGAATATGATGACGAGGATAGAGCAAGACTCCGGGCAGATCTCATTGCCAAGACCTACCTGTTGCAGGCCATCCCGAACGACATCTACATGCAGATTGACAGCATGTCAACTGCAAAAGAGATGTGGGATGAGATCTTCAAGATCATGCAAGGCACTGAGATCGGAGTAAAGGCGAAGAAAGCTAGCACATTCACTGCTTATGACTCATTCAAAGCCAAGCTTGGAGAATCACTTGAAGACACCTACCTGAGATTTCTTCAACTAATAAATGAGATGAGAAAGATTGGCGTGCATAAGTCCAATATGGAACTGAATGTGAGATTTCTATCTTCTCTTGGAGCTGACTGGAAGAAGCTGAGCTCACAGATAAGGCACACAAAAGACCTTGATGAAATGGACATTCATGCTGTGTACAACACACTTGACCAATATGCAGAAGATTTTTCTGATCTTGTGGTAGCCACTGTGACAGCTGACAAAGGGAAGGGAGCTGTGGACAAGCTTGCTGACACCCTTGCCCTGATGCTTGACAAGCCATCGAAGTCTGGCTCCAAGAAGGATAAGATGATAGTTGAAGAAAGTGAAAGTTCTGACAGTGACATTGGATTTAAGAATGATTCAGATGATGATGAGATGCATGATTTTCAGAGGCAGATAGCCCTTCTTACTTCGAGGTTCAACAATCATATGCAGATGAAGAAGAACTCCTCTAACAACAGGCTCCGCAAGTCCTCTACCAGCAACAGCAAAAGAAAAGAGCGATCTTTTGATTCTTCTGAGAATATTGTTGCTGAGGATGCTCCAAAGTGCTTCAATTGTGGGAAGACTGGACATCTGATGAAGGATTGCAGGTTGCCAAAGAGGAGGAAGGATGCTGAATACTATAAGCAGAAGATGTATCTGAACAAAAAGAAGATGTTGCTGGCAATGGAAGAAAATAGTGAGAAGAGTGCCCTCATGGCTGAAAAGGACCACTGGATGGATGATTCTGATGAGGAAGAGAATCTGGCCTTGATGGCAGTGGTTGAAGAAGAAGAGAAAGAGAAGGATGCTGAGAAGGAAGGAAAGATGAAGTCAACCCCTGCTGCTGATGAAAAGGAGAAGAACAAAGCTGAGGAGAAGAAGAACCTGCCTACTGCAACCAATGCTGATGTAGCAACTGCCCTGACTGCTGAGAACAGAAATGCTGACAACGAAGTAAGTACCTCTAATTCATCTATTCATAACTGCTCTAGAACAGATATGCATGATAAATTCAAGGAGCTTGAGGCGAATTATAAAAGGTTGTATGAGGTATATAACCAACTGCGTGAAAAACAGACATGCTCAAACATTAAGATAATCAATTCAGAGAAAACAATCACTAAGCTCACAACTGAGAATAAGCGACTTAGTGCTAGTGAGAAAGAGTTGACAGAGAAACTTAGAACAACTGAAAAGGAAAGAATTAGGCTTTTTGGTGTAAATAACTTGCTAATGGAAAGAAGGGGTGCTCTTTATACTAAAATCAAAGAACTTGAGGATCTGTTAGCCAAAAGGGACCAAACAGATCAGACTATTTTCCTTAACCAGCCTAAGGACACACGTTTCTATAACGCCAAAGAAGGCTTGGGTTTGACCAATCCTCAGAACCTGAAAAAGGTCAACTGTAGACAACTCTATGATGTTAGATACATGAAAATAGGATTGACCAAACTCATGGCCTTCACTGGTGCTGAAGAAACGAATGCCCTTGAGGATGAAAAGAGAAAGACAAAGGCTGGTGTAGAGGTTCCTTTTGACTACACAGAGTTAAACAAGAGCAACAAAACCAAAGCACTCCCTTTGACCCCTGCTGAAGAAATCCTGACCTATCCTCCTGAAAAGGAAGCTGAGAAAGACAGAGAGGAGGCTTCCACATCTGAACCAATTGAGAAACCAGCCTACATTCCACCATTGGTGAGAAAGTTTGCTGAGTTAAAAGATTCTTTTGAAAAGGAAAAGCAGGTTTTAGAAAAAGAAAAGGATGAACTTTTAAAAGAAATATCTTCTTTGAAAACCGCCTCTCAGTCTAACACAGCTTCTCAACCCTCTTCCCCTTCTACTTCTGAAAACACTTCTGAAAATTCAAGCGATAGTTTTAAGACTTCTCCTTCTCACCCCAAGTCTCATTCTCCGACAGGGAAAGATGTGAAGAAGAGAGTCGAGAAGAAAGGAGAGTGGATTGAAGACAAAATAAGAAGGAAGAAGAGAGAAGAAGAGTCGAGATTAAGAAATAAGTGTCAGCGGTCGAGCGCCATATTTTATGTTAAGAATAAGTCTAGTTCTAGCATTAGTGAGCCATCTACTAGTTATGCTAAGAGAGTGGCTCCTAAGTCTTCTAGTTCTAAGATTTCTGTCTCGAATCGCTGTACTAAATGTGTTTCTCTGAATTGCATGAAATCAATGAAATGTTGTTGTTCTGAGTCTGTTTCTTCTTGCAAAGCAAAAGATCCTGTGATTGTTAAGAATGTTGTGAATAAGCCCAAGATTGATAGGGTGAATGTTGAGAGTGAGGTCAAATTGCCATTTTTAAGGTATCCTCTCAAGATTCACTCAGTCAAACATCTGAGAAGGCTATCACGCGAACCAATTTTGAAAGACCACTTATCTGAACAATCACTTAGGACGAATGAAAGTTCCCTCGCTCCAAAAATAAAACAAATCAAACAAAAATGGGTTCCTAAGGCTGAAGCAGAACAATTAAAAATGAAAAACTCTTCTCAAACAGCCAGCCTAGGATCCCAAATCAAAAAGAAGTTGAAACAATTGCTCACTGTTGATAAGGAAGGACCCATCTGGCGATGGGTACCTAAGCGAAACTAATCTGTTTTGCAGGTCAGTCATGTGTGGCATCTTGATTTGGGTTGCTCGTCACACATGACTGGACAGATTGAACTACTGAGCAACTATTCTGAAAGGTTTGGAGGAAATGTGAGGTTTGGGAACAATGCTTCATCGCCCATTCTTGGGATAGGAGATGTCATCTGTGAGAGCGTCACAATCAGAAACGTATCATATGTGCAGGGACTGAAGCACAACTTGCTTAGCATCGGCCAATTTTGTGACAATGGAATGGAAGTGAGATTCCATGCTAGGCAATGTTGTGTGATGGATATGGGTGGGACACCATTATTAAGGTGTCAGAGGAAAACCAATCTCTACACCATTGATCTGAAATCGGTACGATCCCCCATATCCATCTGCCTCCTGTCCAAAGCATCAGAAGAACAAAGCAGCCTATGGCACAGACGTCTCTCACACTTGAATCTGCCAGCCATCAGTTCCCTCTCCTCGAAGAAGTTGGTGAAAGGACTACCTGTTCTGAAGAACTCCCCCAACCATCACTGTTCTGCATGTCATTTGGGAAAGATGAGAAGAGCATCACACAAGTCAAAACAATTTCCCTCCTCATCTCGTCCCCTGGAGCTACTACATATGGATCTGTGTGGTCCGATGCGCGTGCATAGCATCAGTGGACGCAAATATACTTTGGTAATTGTGGATGACTACTCACGCTACACATGGACCAAGTTTTTGCGCTCCAAGGACGAAACTGCAAACTTAATCATGACATTCATCAGGACCATACAGAACTATCTACAGCAGAATGTGAAGATCATCAGAACTGACAACGGGACGGAGTTCAAG